CTGGGGTTAGTTCAGAGGCTTAACTTATGGTTTTGCCTAAACTAAATCTACCTGTCATAAAGAACAGGATATTGCCTTCCAGACTCTACAGCTACCGGTCTAAGGAAAGCCTCTTACTTTAACCGAGCCAAGTGATCGTGCTCCATGTTAATTAGGTGGAGAAGCTCAAGCAATAAGGGCAATTTTTTTTTTTTTAACTACATGGATTTTTAATTTTTGATTAAATTAATTTTATAAATACTTGTAAATTACCTAATAAATATTGGATAAGACTTTAATAATATCTCAAATTATAATTTATATACTTTACCTTAAAGTCTTAAATTTTACATGCTTTAATAAAGATTAAATTTTTTAAAATTTCACTTTAAAAAATGCATGGATGTAATTTATTAAAATTATTTGCATCTGAATAATATTAAAAGGATTTAAATTTATATTTTTAATATGATTTAAATAAGGGCAAATCTTCTAAACAACTGAAGTTAATTTTTGGTTTCTTCTTTTTTTTTTTTGGTTCTATTCTAGTTTCAATAACTTGAAAGCTACATGTGATCGACAAAAGCTTAATTCGACTATTCTAAAGTTCATAGAAAAAAACATTGTCAGACTAAATTAGTTATATGTTCAGACTTATCTAGGTTTATCTGCTGATTTATTTTTAGTGCAAAGATAAAAGGTTAAAGTGGGTGGAGAGGAATGGTAGCTGAAGGAGCACGAGGCGTATACGGAAAGAATGTAAGTCTGCTGTGGTTTTTGCACTGACTAGTATTGTACCGAGTAGTAGAAAAAACAAAGTCTTGTCTCCTTGAAATTGATATTGCCAAGTTCCTGGAATCCATCTATTTACAGGAAGTATGAAAAGGGCACCTTCTAGTTCCACAAGAAGCGTGTAAAATTTGAATGTGCTTGCATGAGCTGAGGACTTGAAGTTGTGTGCATCCTGTTTCATTGAGACACTACCTACGAGAAGGCCATAAATTTTGCAGTAGGAGATTGCCTGCAAGCAATGGATTTCCTGGATCTGTTCATATTGGCATTGATGCCAGTTCTAAAAGTTCTTCTTGTTACTGCCGTTGGTCTGTTTCTTGCAACGGATCGTGTTAATCTTCTGGGACCAGATGCAAGGTCTCATCTTAATAGTGTAAGTCCTCCATGATACTTTTCTTGTAATTCTGCTTTCAGCACCACTGAGTACTAAAAACTGTTTTTTCGTTGTCTTTCGTTTGTAATTTTCGCCTTTTGAGCAGTTGGTATTTTATTTGTTAAGTCCTGCACTCATATTCAGCAACCTAGCCGAGACGGTTACTATGGAAAGTTTGAGAAGCTTGTAAGTTCTTGTCTAAAGGTATTATTTCCATTTGATGGTGAGAATGTAAGTTATGTAACTGTAATGTTGTACATGTGTAGGTGGTTTATGCCAGTGAACATTCTTCTGACACTAATATTGGGTTCTTTGCTTGGATGGATTCTCGTAAAAATCACAAAAACTCCTCCACATCTGCAAGGTCTTGTCATTGGTTGCTGTTCTGCAGGTAGATAGAAATTCACTGTCTTATCCAAATTGAAGACTGAGGTGCATAAAGTATACCATTTTCCTTCGTGTTATAAATTGATTAGTTTGTGTTTATGCCCACAGGGAATATAGGAAACCTGCTCCTGGTCGTTCTCCCGGAGCTCTGTGAAGAGTCAAATAGTCCATTTGGAGATTCTTCCACCTGCTCTACAAATGCAGAGGCTTATGCGTCCTTTTCTCTTGCGGTATATGTTGTATAACTTCTGCTACATAAACTTTAGAAAACAAATGAAGGCTGAATAAGGGAAGTCATTTCGTGCTCAATGGTACTGAAGATGGCAGCATCTGATCTACCCTCTTATTTCCTGCTTTGAGATTGCAGATACTAGCGGTTTATATTTGGTCTTATGTGTATATTATGATGTGGGTGTATGCGAAAAAAGGTGAAGGTAATGGAATTGACAAAGACGAACACCCTGACCCAGTAGTCGTAACAATTTCCGGTGGAGAATCCGAAGACTTTTTACAGAGTTCTAGAGAAGCCTTACTTTCTTCAAAGAGTTTAGAGGGCACAGAGGGGCTTTCAGATCAAATTGAACCACTCCCTCAATCAATTGAAGGGAAAGAGAAGGTCAGATGAAACTCATTAGATAATGTTTCCAAAAGAAATTAAAAATCTCATGGTATTTTTGGTTTAATGGTCTAACTACTAAGAAAACTACGAGGGCTACTAATTTATCAGTCTTCCATTCATATCTGCAATTCTCTGTTGAGCTAATATCTTGCTTCTATTCAGTACATGTGGAAAAGGAACCCGGTTTTTTGAGCATATATGATGACCAAGAATTCTTTTCACAGGGTAAGGTTTTGGTCTTTCTGGAAAAGATAAAGGAGCGTGTTAACAATTTAACAAGCCATATCAAACTGAAAATGTTGTTGGCCCCTTCAACAATTGCAGCGGTATGCTTGTAGTGCTTTCAACTTGTTTTATTCAGCAATAATGATAACTTTGCTTTGAAATAATAGATGGTATAGGGAGCAAAGTGTATGATGAGGTATTGTCTACAGATTTGTACTTCATATTTACATGGACCTGCTTCTCTTGCTGAATAGATTGTTGGGTTCACTATCGGATTGGTATCTCCAATTCGGAAGCTCCTGATTGGTGACAGTGCTCCTCTCCGGACCATTTACAGCTCTGCAGCTCTGATAGGGTACTTTTCAAAACATGATTTTCTGAACTCTGTCCTGCATACTATGCCCCGGTATTTACTTTCCATCAGCATTTTTCGTTTACAGAAATGCAGCAATTCCTTGTATAACCTTGATTATTGGTGCAAACCTTCTCAAGGGTCTCAGGGGATACGGAGTAGGTGCACCAATCATAGCAGGCATTGCAGCAATCAAGTTCATCATCCTGCCTGCACTAGGTGTTGGCATTGTTAAAGCTGCAAACCATTTTGGGATAGTGGAATCAAATTCATTACTCCTGTTTACCTTACTGTTTCAATATGCAGTTCCACCAGCGATGAACATTGGTGAGACACTGGCACTAAGACTAAGATTATTTCTTACTGATATTGCTACTGCATTTTTCTTCTCAGGAACTCTGTTTAAGGATTAACTTTTTTATGGCAGGTACAATTTGCCAACTGCTTGGTGCTGGTCAGAGTGAATGCTCCGTGATCATGCTATGGACTTACGCCCTCGCAACTTTCTTTCTGACTTTGTGGTCAGCCTTCTTCATTTGGCTTGTGACTTGAATTATTCTTTTGGGGGTTCTCATTAATCTCAAGATTAATCATGGGCGGCAAAGCGCTCCTGGGAGTGCCACTTCCCCCAGTCCCCCCTTTTTCTTGAGAAAAATTACTGAGACTTCTTATAAGGAATTTTTATAGGTTAATCTAACAAATTATCTATTAACTTTCATATTTTTTTTTATTTCATCTATTATCTTTAAATTATTTCAATTATATTTATTATCTTTCACATTTATTTCAATTTCATTTAGTTCATTATTTTTAACGGAAATGTTCGTTATCTTTATGGAATCTTTTTATTTTATAAGAAAATATTTAGTCCTTTAATTATATATTTTTTTAACACTTTAGTCCTCAAATTTATATTTACCATGAAAATGGTTTTTATTATTATCTTGCTAGATGTGTTTTTCAAAAAATTGTTTTATAAAGCGGACTATATGCTATCCATCCTGTAAAATTATTTAAATTTCTTTCATTTTATTTTTATATTATTTTTCAAAGACATTTAAATAATTTTACAGGACAAACTGTATACAATCTATCATGTAAAATAGACTTATTTTTAAAACTTCTCGTTGTAAACTTACTAAGTTTTTTTTGTTTGGATTAAACTAGTTGCTCAAATTTATTACAAATTCTAACTAATGTATCTTTATAAAATATTTCTTGAATCATCATCTTTCTTGAGTTATCATATTTTATTAGGATTACAGTGTCACTTTTTCAAAATTTAAAAGGCTACTCTTTCCGTTAAATCTAACAAAATTTTATACAATAAACTATTTTGAAATATATTCCAAAGTTTATAAACCATTTAGAAAGAAAATAAATTTTCTAGACTAAAATGAAATCAAGGTGATAGTTAATAGACTAAAAATTAAATTAAGTCAATTTTCTATATATGAATTGTATCACTCTCAAACTTTAAAAATTTAAGAATTCAAAATACAACTCTTTTATAAATTTTGAGATGGGTACAAAAGATATTTAAGAAAGAGAATTTTTATATTCAACTAAAAAAATCATTATTTATTATAGACTACATAATTATATTTTTTTAATAGTACATAATGATATTTAATTTTTTAAAAATTAATACACAACATGTTACAAAAACAGAAAAATGTGTTTAGTGGGGGGAGAGGGGGGGTTCTCTCTTGTCGCACTAAATTGCAAAAAATGAAAAAGGTCCATTATAATAAACGAAAGCATAAATTTTGGATCCGAGTTAATGGGCCGGACCCAGGATATTTATTTTTGAATTAACATTTTAAATATATATGGATTTGAAATGATGGGCCAGATCTGGTTGGATCCATTAGCGTACAGAAATTCAGAAACCGCTAGTTTTTGGCGGGAAAACAAAATTCGCAGATTCAGAGTGCATATATAAAACTCTTCTTCGCCACACACTTTCTCTCTCCGGCGGCTAGAGGAGGCTGTGAATCGGAAGCTGATGAACTGAACTGCAAAGCCCTAATCTGATCGGAACAAAAGAGATGCCTCCGAGGAAGAAAGCAAACTCTTCGTCTAAGAAATCAAACGCTGCTAATCAGCAATCACAGCCGTCCAAATTCGGGATCCAACATTTCTTCGAGCGCCACACTCAGAACGCCGTTTCAGCCTCCCAGAAACGTTCTTCTGCTTCCAACGCACCTGTTTCGGGTGATTCCGTATCCGATCAGGTAAACGACAACCCTAGTTCGCCCACAACCAATTCAATTGCTTTGCCGCCTCAAAAACCTAGCAATGGTGGAGTTTCTGGGTCAAAAAAGCCTAAAATTTGTTCCGTCGATTCAAAAAACAGTCCTCAGAATACTCCCCTTGAGAATCTGGTGGCCGAGGATGGTAATGCGGAGCTCTCTCCTGAAATTTCTAAGTCTGTGCCTCTCAAGCGCTTTAATTTCTCTCCTGGAATGGTAAATTATAGTTCTTTTGCATTCTTTGTTTACAATTAGAGGTAGTAAGTTGTTTGGTTGTTCTCTGTTTCAATTTCTATTGATTAATCATTATGGGGTTTGCTCTATACTGATTAGATGTATTCATGGGGTTTGCTCCATGCATTGCTGTGATAGTTGATAAAGCAAAGCCAGGATGATGGAGGAGATGAGGTAACGTGGAAGATATCCCCCATCAACGAAAGGCTTCAAGCAGTTTCAAAACAGATTCCAGAGGTCATAAAAGTTTTGGCGGATTCCTCAAGGCGCAACTCTTTCAGCATAAGAAATTGCTCACAAAATAAGGCATGCATTTCACCTTTATCTGCTATTGTTAACATTTATGGTATAGCTGACTAACAAGATTTAGTGCAGGGTGTGCATCCTTGTCCTGGTGCTGCTGGCAAGGCTGACAAGCTACTTTCCTTGTCTTACCCAAAAACTTCTAAAAAATCTTCAGTTGCACCAAGCAGGGTTGGCTTGAAGCGGGTAAACCCATGTCAGGACAACGAAATTAATGGGGGCAATCTTGATGTTAATGCTTCCCTAGCTAGCCAACAGAGTCCTTTCCGCACTCCACCATCTCTGTCATACTGCCATGATAAGGTAATCCATATCTACCTAATATGGCTCTGCTTTTTTCCCTTATTCTCTTTTGGATTTCAGGGAAACTTGGGAATATTAGTAAAAATCAAAGGCTTTAGTATTCTTGTATGTAGAACTAGGGAGACCTAGTAATAACTAATAACAAATGGAGGAAAAACCCTCTTCAGATAAAAACATACCCATGTTGTTCTTTGATTTCTTAAAGATTAGAAGGTGGCTAATTTTTGCTTGATGCATGGTCCAATGGAATGCAGTTTGCTACCGGTTCTGCATGTGGCGGACCATCTGATCAGCTGGGTTTGAGGCAGCACAAAAAGGTTCTTCATAAAATTTTCTTTAAAGTTTGTTTTTAAGACCTGCCCTGCTACTAATGCTGATTTCTCATCATTTGTTTCAAATATGATTAGTGCACAACCTCATCATGTCCTGGCAAATAGCAAGTTTCTTATTTCTAATTGCAAATGTACATGATTTTATTGCAAATCACGTAATGTTTTTTGGCTACTGTTTCATCTGTCAATGTGTTCTCATGTCCATTTATATTCATTTGTTTGTTCACTCCTTTAGGCACTGCTGGAGTTGCTAGATCAAGTTGAAGATGCCATTTCTACAGAGGATTCAGTATCTAATGACTTAGAGTCTTGTTCATCTGAAGTCCAAGCTGAAAATTCTGATGAAATATCAGTAAAAACTGGTCCAACAGTAAAATCAGTTCCAATGAATCTATCAGAAAGAACCATAGGAGCATCTTCTGATGGTTATTTCTTAGTGTTGGAGGTAAGTTTTTTCTCTTCTTATCTTTGTCTCCCTTTGTAATCCCTCTCCTTTATCTAGTTCGCCCTCCTTGTTGCCATTTCTCAGCATTGGAGGTATACTGATTTATTTCAATTTGCTGCTTCTAAGGTATCTGAGAAGCGTAGGCCTCCTGAATCCTCTGGTGCTCATGCTCTCTATAAGGTTCTTAGTAAGCCTCTCTCACTTGCCATTTAACTGTTTCAACATAATGGTTACAGTTGTAAAGGTGATTGGTTGCTTCTCAGGTTCTTCGCTTGATAAATGAACAAAGTGGGGAAGAGCGTGCTGTGTCTTTGTGGGAAGAGTGGTAAGTCATTTGGCATTCTTAATTTGAAACATTTAACAAAATTTTGCCATTGTTTGTTTCAAAATTAATTTAAGTACTATTTAATGCTAGGAAATTGATTATTGATCGGTTAATGTCTAGAGTTCACTTTCAGGTCATATTTTTTCCCTCACCTCTTTGGCTACAAAACTCTCATTTTTTTTTTTTTAATGAATTTAAGTTTATTGATCAGAAACCATGTTGTCATATAATAACAAACAGTATGCTTGTTTTATTGAGGTTGATCTCTATCATGTGATAGCAGGTTTCAATTGTAGTTGCTAATTATGCTTATTCACTTGTCTCCTGTGGCATTTTCTGTATCTTTGTTTCTGCCTTAACAGTTATTAGTATTCCCCCTCATCTTCTAGTGAGAAGCCTTAAACGATTCCTCTGACTGGTTTTGTTGTTGGGTCATTTGATCATTGGATGATTATATTCTTACTATTCCTTGACAAAAATTCCCAGGTATTACAGTGTCATTGCTCCTGGAGATACTGTAAATGTCATTGGAGAATTTGACGACCAAGGAAAGTGTGATATTGATCATGAAAAGAATTTTCTAATTGTTCATCCTGATATTCTGATTTCTGGAACTCGGGTATGTGTTTTAACTTACAAAATTTCATTCAGCAGTGTTGAATGGTGATTTTAGTTGACTAGATCTGCATAGGTATTTTGAACATTATCCCTTTCTACTAATCAACAAATGCTTTAGGTTGCAGCTAGTTTTAATTGTCCAAGGCGAACGGTCCTGGATGAGAGGCTAACATCAAGTGAATATTCAACTGCTGCCCTGATTGGGACATTGCTCCATGAAATTTTCCAGGTCTTGCATAGAAATAGCTACTTTTTTCCTTCCCATTCAGGGAAAATATATAGTCCTTATAATCTTATTGAACTTTTTCTTTTTTTCATCAAGAGTGAGCTTTGATGATTTGCTTATCTATGGCATGTTATTCTTTCCTTTTCCAGGCAGGTCTTCTGAAGGAAATTCCAAGCATAAACTTCCTGGAAGAATATGCAAGATTAGTACTCCAGAAAAACTTGGAGAGTTTGTATGCATGTGGAGGTGGAGACTACATAAATTACTTTACCTTTTCTTTTCCAATTCCTTGCTGGGGGAGGATTCCGTAGTTCATCATCGTATTGGACTCATGAAACCACAACTGCTGTTATATTCATCTTGTAGAAACATTTTATTGTATTTTTTGGTCTAATAGTTAAGTGAAAATATTATCATTAAATCCTATAGGCTATAGATAAACTAATAATCTCTGGTCATGCTTAAATTGCAGCAAATGAAAATGATATGTACAAAACCTTGATTGAAGCTATTCCAAAAATTTTAAACTGGATTTTCCTCTTCAAAGATTCACAGGTATGCTCTTTTTGTTTTTATTTTTGTTGTTCCTTACTAAATTACTGCCAAATTTTTATTACCACCCAACTTCTTTATGCCTATTTTAGAAAGATATGTTCGCTATTGTTTACTGGATAATGCGTCTTTATTTATATGCATGTTAGAAAGATTCTATCATGAAATTAGAGAGAACCTTCTCTTCTCAAGTTAATGATCTAAAAACTGTGGACAGAACTCCGAGGCTCCTACCATTGATTTTGGATCTGATAATGGGCTAAAAAAGCTCAACATATCTGAGGTTTGTGTTTCCCTGCCTCTTATTTATATATAATTAGTCTTGTAAGCTGCATCTTTGCATCTATGCATAAATTGGTGGAAATAAATGCTAAAGAATGTTGTCAATACTTGGATCTGAACTGTCTGTTAGTGCTTGTCTGTTTGCTTTCACAACATCACTGGAAAGTTATGTGCACAAAAGTAATTGATTGTTGTTTACTGTTGATGATTGATGCATTTTTAAATTGTTGTCTTTTATTATCATGTTTTTTGTGTTAAAGCATGGAGCAATATCTATGAGGGATCTTTTCTAATTCTAGGTAATTGATATTGAGGAAATGGCTTGGGCCCCAAAATATGGTTTGAAAGGAATGATTGATGCTTCTGTCAGAGTGCAAGTTGAATCAAGTGGAAATGAAGCTTACGAGAAGATTCTTCCTCTAGAGTTTAAAACTGGAAAAGCACCTAATGGCCAGGCTAGTATCCAATTTATATGTGTACGACTGCAATAAAAATGTGCACGGCATTTTAGTCCCATTGTCCTCTTTTTGCTGATGCTTCTCCTTTATGCAGTCGTCAGTGGAACACTGTGCCCAAGTGATTTTGTACACTCTTCTTATGTCTGAGAGGTATATACAAATTGGCCTCTCTTTTTTATTGTTATTATTATTTTTTTTCATTTTCCCCCTATTGGTGGAGTTCAGGAGATTGTTGTAATCTTTGTTATGGCAAGTTGTTCTAAGGAATTAGGCTTTTGTCTTTCTGTTTCTTTACTTGTGTCAACTCTAGGTACTTGAAGCCTATTGATTCTGGCCTTCTATATTACCTCCAGTCAGATCACACACAGGTAAATATCATGCATTGTTCATCTTGTGATCTCCATTTCTTAAGATAACTGAATACGTCTGGATGATTTGTGAAGGGAATTGCAGTTCGAAGATCTGACTTGGTTGGGCTTATAATGCGTCGCAATGAGCTTGCAAATGATATTGTTAAGTCATCAACTACACAACAACTGCCCCCAATGTTACGTGTATGGCTGTTATTGAATTATCTGATAGAAATATATTTTGTTAAACAACTCTTTATTGGATAATCATTTGAAACATTTTTAAATTGTCTTAATATTTTAATTTTAGGTTCCAAGCATGTGTAAAGGTTGTCGGCATTTTGATATTTGCACAATTTATCACAAGGTACTCCTAATCTTTTACAAGTCTTGAGAGTGAAAATTTTTCTCTCTTATATGTTAAGTATAAAAGTTTCTGTTATTCTTCTCTAATCTCTATTTCAATGATAGATTATCAAGATTTGTACACCCATGGAAAAATGATTGGTTATTCCAAAATCTAGTACCCCTTGTAACTTTCATCCAGTTACATAATTCTAAAAGCTGTATGTACAGTTAAATGCCCTAAAGAAATTTTTTTTTAAAACCGATAAAAAATATTAGGAAACCTGCTCATTTATCCTTGGTTATTCAAAGTTATTCAGTGTTGTTTTAGTGCCAGCTTCCATTAGTTGAGTATAAAGTTTCCTGGTTGACCATTCTGATTATTTACTGCAGGCACTTGGTGGAGACACAGAAACTAGTGGATTAGGGGATATGTATGATTCAATTGTTCACCATCTTTCAAATTCTCATTGTTCTTTCCTTAGGCATTGGGATCGTTTGATTGACCTAGAAGCTAAGGAGATGCAGGTGATATTTTAAACAGCCAATGCATATACTGTTTATAATATGAACACTATATAATAATTTTTTTCCTAATTCTTTTTTCTTTTTTGGTATTATTCCAGCTTGTAAAAAGGGAAATATGGCATTCCCACACTGTGAAGAGAGATCGATCCTCAAGCAGTTTTTGTTCTATTGCTCTTGATGAACTTCCAGAACGGAAGTCTCAGGATGGCAACAGGTTCATCTATCGTTTTGTCCGTCAACGTTCACCTGATGGCAATGTGGAAGGATCTGCAATAGATCCTTTAACTGCTGCATCTTCTCCAACAAATGATTTAGGTTCCACACTTAAAAGTGGAGATTATGTGGTATGATTAATCTTGTCTGAGTAGCCTTGTGCAAAATCTATTAAGTGGATCTGTCTACGCTATTCCTGATCACTTTCTATCTTATTAATCATTTTTTATTATCTTTCTGAGGCTTATTTCCTTTGAAAATTAAGATTTTACACCTTTTAAGGTGAGAATTACACATTACAGGCTACTTTTTCTGATATAATTGTTATGGTTTCTTACAATGCATGTTCGAGGTATTTTTATTGTCATAATTGATAATTAGTGAGGTGCATGCTTGTATCTAAATAATCATTCAGTGAGCATTTATCTTTCATAAATTCTTCTGATCATACTGTTTATCTGACCTTTAATTGTTATGAACATCAACAGTAATTTATTTCTTATCTGTTTTCTGGTTTTAGATGCTTAGCACAGAATCTGGCCGTAATCCAATTGCAAGTGGGGTCATAACAGACATCAGTCCCATCCATGTTTCTGTAAGTAAAATGTTTTCTCATTATTGTGCTTTAAAGTTGGCCTGTTGCCACTACCCTACTCTAACACATGCATGCTGAATTGCTAATGTAGCTTGAAAATGCAGCAGCAATACATTCTTAAACATTCAAGTTCAAATAGATCTAACAGTTTAAGGTTATCTTACCATTTTTTTTTTTTGAAACGCTCAGGTTTCTTTCTCTAAGCGCTTAAGGCTTCCCAGGAGTAATGCTTCTTCAGAGGCAGAAGATTTCTTCCGGGAAATCTGGCGCATTGACAAGGATGAAAATATGACGTCATTTTCTGTTATGCGGTAATTTCTTGACTTGACTATAGTTCTATCATATCCATTCTCATGATATATATAAATATAACCACTGATGAGGGGCTGGACCCCTTCCATCAATGATTGTAAAATGTGCAGTCCACCCTACTATCTATCTACACACACACACACTTGTAACTCTAAAATCATCAAAAAATGTCTTTATGTGCCTTACTTATTTTTGTTGTAAAATTTCTGCAGGTTCAACCTTGTACAACTTTTTCTACAAAATGCTGAAAGCTCTCACCTCAGGAAGATGATAGTTGACCTTGAGGTGAATGCTTGTTTTAATCTTGTATAGTTTTCTATATCTAATCATCTTGGCAAATTTTAATTGAATCTGGGACTACATCTACACTTTTTCAGGCTCCTAGATTTGACAAAGAATGTGTATCAAGCCAGGATCCAGCAATATCATATCTCAGGTCAGAGAAAAGCTTAAATGATGATCAGCGTCGAGCTATTCTTAAGGTTGTCCTTGTTATGCTAATTCTTGGCTGACCAACTTCTACTTCAAAAATGCATTATTACTTATTCAGGTTTTTATTTCAGATACTTGCTGCGAAGGATTATGCTCTAATTCTGGGAATGCCTGGAACAGGCAAGACAACTACTATGGTGCATGCTGTGAAAGCCTTGTTGTTGAGAGGTGCATCCATTTTGCTCACGTCCTACACAAACTCTGCAGTTGATAATTTACTCATCAAATTAAAAGCACAGGTTATCTTTATCCCTTTATCACATTGTAACACTATCAACGTGATGTTAGCTTTCTCCATATTTGTTCAATTTCAGGCTCTAAGGAATTCACAGAAGTATACAACTCTCTGAGTTTCAAAAAAAAAAATTGTGTTTGGGTAGCAAAGTCAGATAAGATAGAGAATTTGATATTTTTTTATGTTATAAATGTTCTCCATTGTAAGAAATATGGTTTAAAGGGAATTGCTGTGAAATGTAGAGAAGAAATGGCTTGTGGAAAGAACATTAAAATATATAGAAGATAATTACATATTCATAAAAGTGGTGTTTCATTGAAATAGATGATGAAACAAGGAAATCTTCCTCTTTCTCTGCATAATCCGGTCATCCTTTATCCTTATATATGAAAAGGGAATTTACCAAAGCCCAACATAGTATAGCATTTCGTTGGTAAGCATCTTTTGATTGTTGCAAGACCTCTTGGTTCTTGAGCCTGAATTCACTTCTTTTGTAATTTATTTTTGACTGGGACCAATGGAAGCTGAACTGATTGGTGTCCCTCCTTTTTGGATTGTCTTCATGGTGAATAAGTTACACTTTTGTTCATTATAGGGATGTGAATGACACACGTCTGTCTTATCATTATTATTATTATTTGCAACAATATTCAAATTATTGCAGGATATTGACTTTGTGCGCATTGGAAGACATGAAGCAGTGCATGAGGAAGTTAGAGGGCATTGTTTTTCAGGTCAGGCAGTATGTTGCTAACAATTGGCATTTTCTTGCAATTAGTGATATCTTCATCTAACAAGATATTCATTCCAGCAATGAACGTCCAGAGTGTAAACGACATTAAAATAAGGTTAAGCCAAGTCAAAGTTGTTGCAGTTACATGTTTAGGAATTACAAGTCCCTTGCTTTCTGGAAAGAGATTTGATGTATGCATAATGGATGAAGCAGGACAGACTACACTTCCAGTATGTATCTTCTTCTAAAATTTATTTTTACCATTAATGTTTCTTTCGATATTGCAATTAGTTATGAACCATATACTGTACTGTTTAGAGGCTGGAAACTTGAATACTCGTTTCTTCTTATAGAATGCCATTTTAGTAAAAGTGTAGAACTATGACTTAGATGCCAGTAAAACATAGTAGAATTAACAACCAGATGCTTTGAATAGAGATTTTCAGGGAAAATGCAGAAAAGATTGCAAAAAAAGTGAAACAAGGTTTAATTTAAATACTTGAGAATAAGCCCCCTGATTATCCTAAGTGCTTAAGAAGGGTCTCTGCTTCTCAGCTACTTTTCACAATGCATAATTTTTTTTAGCAAATTGTCTAGTATTTGTCTACTGTTAATTCTGCAGGAAGTACTTTTCAACATGCATATTTTGTAGGCTTCTTAGTTTCATGGGGGAGACTATGCTGTTGCTTATCTCTCATTCTCTGTGGGGACCCAGGTGCTCATCTGTTATACTTCACAATGGGTTGACAAAAGATTGATTGTTTTATCAGGTATCGCTAGGACCCTTGATGTTTGCTTCAATGTTTGTCCTTGTGGGAGATCATTATCAATTGCCTCCACTGGTTCAGGTATACTGGATGGATTCTTTAGTTATAGTTGCATGAACTTCACCTCCTATATTAATGATGTTCTGCCAATTGATAACTAGAGCACAGAAGCTCGAGAGAATGGAATGGGGATAAGTTTGTTTTGCAGGCTGTCAGAAGCACATCCTCAGGCAATTTCACCATTGCAAAGCCAGGTAACCCTAGAAAGATATGAGGTTTTTATGTCTTGGCTCTTTCTTTGATTGTCCTTAACAGATAATTCACTAAAAATAATTTAACAGATGAATTCACTAAAAATAATTCCTCTGCAGTACCGTATGTGTCAAGACATTATGGAACTGTCAAATGCATTGATATACGGTGACAGATTGTGCTGTGGTTCATCTGAAATTGCTAGTGCAAAACTCAGCTTGTCAAGACTTGACTCTTGTTCTTCTTGGCTACAAACCGTGAGAGCTTTTACCTGATCTTCTTGTTCTTCTGTTTTTCAATTCTGAAGGCATGTATTGTTTCTCTTTATACAGCTAATGTTATTGGGTAAACTTCCAACATTTAAAGGACAGTATATTTTTATTGTACTTAAATCGGCCTATATTTCATCACTTAATGAAGAGACAACTTTTATAACTTAAATTTATTCATGGCTGCAGGTTTTGAATCCAAGCAAGACTGTCATATTTATTAGTACAGGTCTGCAAATCATCATCTACTTTCTCATGTTCCGTTGTATGTACTGATTCTGTGTCTTACCAGACCATTGTCTTTTACTCAGATATGTTGCCTGCTTTTGAGACGAAAGATCAGAAGACTGTGAATAATCAGATGGAAGCTCACATAATTGCAGAGGTGAAAATTTTGACATTAGACTTATGATATACTTGTTTCCGAAATCCTCTAGTGGTTGGCATGTAGTTTTACTACATAATTTTTTTTTCTTATTTCTTGTAACTCAGATAACAGAGGCATTGCTTAACAATCGAATTGAAGGCAAAGATATTGGCATCATTACCCCCTATAACTCCCAGGCAAACCTCATTAGACATGTTTGTGAAGCATCCGTGGAGATACATACCATTGACAAATACCAGGTCAGGCTGAAGCACATTAATCCAAGTGATTTCCTATTGTTCATTTTCCTGAGGGATTTTATTCCTTAGGGTTTGTAAAAGAACAGCTAGACCTGTCCTTAGCTTGCCACACCCAAGCCACTCTTCAACTTTTTCCCCACTAATGTTTACAGAGATCACTAATAAATTGCTTCTAATGCAATGTCCTTTATTTTGTCTAGGGAAGAGATAAGGACTGCATATTAGTCTCCTTTGTGAGGTCTAGTGCAACTTCAAGGAACTGTGCTTCTTCACTGCTGGGAGACTGGCATAGGATTAACGTGGCTCTAACACGAGCCAAGGTAGGTCTTCCTTGTTTCAAATTCAATCCATCACTCCAGAAACATAAATACAAGCTTTAATTGTTAATGGAGATCCAAAGAAAAGCTACCCTTAATGCCAGGCTAACATTGCTGATGGTTTTTCTGGATAGAAAAAGTTGATCATGGTGGGATCATGCAAAACCCTTTCAAAGGTTCCATTGCTTAAGCTTCTGATCAACAAAGTTGAGGAGCAATCAGGCATCTTCAGAATTTCCAGAACGGATTTCAACCCAAAAATGGAGCTTAAGAGATGCTCTAAGGTTTGATAATTAGGAATCTCTTTACATCTTGTTCATATTTGTAACACTGAAGATGTATATAAACATCAATCAAATTATTTTTGTAACATTTTCAGAAATGTAAATGAAAGAACACAACATTCTCAGCTTCGCATTTCACCTCCTCTCTTCACCAAACTGGTTCGGCATAAACCATGACATGCATCATTAGTTATCAGTAAAGCGAAAGCCTATTAAAACCAAATTATCATTGTTCAATGAGATGGTTTTGGACAATTCTCACCACTCTCGGTATCCTACTAATAAATCTATAAATTCCCTCTTTTAAAGGAACGTATCACGTTTTTTGAGCATGCATGGATCATGATTTTTAGTTCTATAGAAGATGTGGTTAAATACAAGTTCAATGGCTCTACCAAGAAAGAAGAAAATAGTCGAACCTCTAAGAAGCTCCAAACATATGGGAAGAGGAAGAGAACCTGATTCCAATATTTCTTTCTTGGCCAGCAGCCTGATTCCAAATTTCCGATGATCAGCTTTGCCTCTCCACGACTTCTCCTGCTAGTCTATAGAGCAAGCAGGGACGGATGGAAGAGACGATTTTTGGATATGTTCAGAGATGGAACTCATATAGAAAAGCTGAATGGCAATCTATGGAGAGGAAAGAATAAAATCGTAGAGCAGAGAATTAAAAACCCCATTCTAGATTATTTTCATTTTTTCAGAATGATAAAAATGAAAAATTGGTTTGTAGTTCAGATAGGGAACTCTAATGAAAATAAGAAGAAATTAGAATTGAGGAACAAATAAATTATATTAAACATTTGATATACATTTTATCTTGGTGTATTTTTCCCGCCAAGAGAATGTTTCAACCAACAAGAATTTAAGACTTCAAATTAGATACTTCATATGTGAATAAGAAAGAGCTCACCAGATAAAGAGACCAAAAAACAAAAAAAAAGAACTTTTTCACTGACTCCTTGAAACATCAACAATTCCGCATTTACGGACAACAAACTGATGGTACTTCAATGATGTGCTATCTGAAAGTGCCTCAATTAACAAAATTAATACTTACAACTGAGTTGTAACTCACTTTCAAGTGACTACAAAGGGGAATTAAGATGCATCAACTTATCATGAAACTAGGAGAAGGTCAGGGCATCACGACAAAATTCCATATGGGAGAAGTGCAGCAGCCACTATTCTACCTTCCTCATTCAGTATGTTGTAAGTTGAGGTCGCATTTCTCTGCAACAAAAGAAGAGAAAATGTTAGAAGACCTAAGTTCGGCAAAATAGTATCAAACAGTTATTCTGATTGAAAACATAACAAAAACAGAATGCATGCTAGAATGTGCAAGCAGTGTATGATCCAGGAGAGTAGGGTGAAAGATGCTATTGCAGAAAGACAAAAATAAGCACCAACCACCAAGAGCATAGAATTTTGAAAAGATGATTGGTGTAGTGTCATTGATATCTATAAACATGCTTTTCCATAGTTTTTAAAATAATCATCAAACACTACTAGTTACTTGCCCTGAACATTGAGAATTTGAAGTCTAATCCTCCACTTCAAAAAGGTTTGAAAATTAATTCAGACTGAGAGAACTTGACTTCTATCAACTTGTAGAAAAATGCTAAGACTGATGCTTATAATTTAAGTTGGTAGTTAATCAGAGGCTCAAGATGGTATATGTAGTCTTCTAAGAATGAAAGGTTTGAGAAATAAGGAGATCTGGCCTCCAGAATCTAGGAATTACTTAAGTTTTTGTTACTTGTGTTAAACAAGATTAATTTAACATGTTGAGGAAAAGGTCAAACCTAAAAGTAAACATAACAGCTATAATGAAAATGATCATACCGAGTCTAGGGTTTCCAACTTCATGCCAGTAGATCGAATGAACTGTTGCAATTCAGGACTTACTGGTATAATGTTCCTTCCACAGCCAAGAATCAGGAGCTCTGACATAAGTTACAAAACGAGAGCCCATTAGAACCAAAAATTTAGAGAAAAACTCAACAAACTTATACCATGCATATTGTATCCTCAGGACCATCTCAGCCAACTCCACCAGCTAGACCATTAATTGGTTGCTTGTCTTTGGCAAAGATTGCCTCACATTTAGGGGGAAAGTAAGGTTGAAAATCCTTTTTTTGTTTGTCATATTTGCTTAAAAAATCCATGTAGGCACAGTTAAAAAATGAAGGGTGGGAAAAAAAAGATAGATATCATTAAAATGCAAAGCTGGAGTATATCCAGTTTTTTAGAACAATTTCAATGCAGTCCCATCATATTAGCCATTGCTTTTCAACACTACATTGTGCTCCATTCTATAATTCTCTTCAACCAAACATAATATTAAAAGCATAAATAGAATATGAAAGGTGATTCATCTCATTCTCTAGAATATGCATATATTACAGAATACAATCCAAGTAGAATGCTATAAAGAAACAAAAACAAAAGCCTTCAAAATGCAAAATTCTAGATAAAACAACACCATGTAGGAAACCTAGCCTCAAAGAAAAAAAAAAAAAAAAACATACATATACATGAACTGGTTACAATATGGTTTGACTATCACCTGGAATTGGACGCACGATTTGGAAGATGGATAAGCTGCACATAAATACAAAGATGATAAAAAGTGAGACAGATATGGGATAAAACTCAGGGAGATTTTCTTACAGTCTACAGCGGATTGGTTAATTAAGACAGCCATTGATCCTTTCGGCTTGAAACCCAAAACAAATTGAAGCTTCACATGCAAAGCTGTATCTAAGTTTCAGGAAGCCATAACTATAACTAGGGATCTTGAGAAAGACAATTTTAATTGTGTTTTGTTCTTAGATTAGGCTAAGCAACAAACACAATAACAAATTAATTAATTAATTAATTAGCAGAGCAGAAAAAAGGTGAAGTTTAATTAAGGGGATTACCTATCAGGAGTGATTTCAGAGAACTTGGTGGGACTCCAAGAAGTCAGCAAATTTCCGACACAAAGCAAGCTACCTTCATGGTTGACCCCATTCACAGTGAATCCCGTGTCGGTATATCTGAAATACGGAAAGGTAACAACAACCCAGATGAAAAATTAAGCTGTTTTGGAGGAAAGATGGCAACTTTAAGGAGAAATTGAGAAGAAGAGATATACCCTTGAAAGCGAAGCTGGTCCTCGGGGACGTTATCGATGAGATTGATCTGATCGTAGAGAGAGAAAGCGCGCCTAAGGGACGGCAGCGCCTGACTCCGATTAGGCTTCAGCAACGTCGTAGAAGGCGATTCCTTCTGGAGAGTTCTGATCAGCTTTGGAAGAGATTCTGCCGCTCTCCTCCCCGCCATCTCCTTACTCCACTCTTGCCTGGGCTGCCTTCATTCGTTCTACCAAAAATGTTCATTAAATTGAGCACATTTTTTTTTTCTTGAAAAAAGAAATTGTTTTTCTTTTTTTAAGAACAATTCCCTTCTAAATTTATAATTATAATATTTTTATTTTATTTATTAATTAAATTAAGTCAAGTATAAATTAACACATTATAGTTTATATTATGAGGTTACTGTATATAGTCTTAACTTTTAAAAACAATTAGAATCTCATTATATATTTTAAAATTAAAATTTTATTTTATAAATATTAATTTTTAAATTTAAAAATTCATTATATATTTTAATATATCTATATCTAATAACGTAACTTTTAAAATTTTTAAAATTTTAAATTGAGTTTTAATTAAGTAAAATGACATAATTTAATATTAAAACTTTAATTACTTTTTAGAATCGATGTTGATATTTATTTTTTTTATTTTTTTATTAATTTTAAGGAGTATTCAAAATTTTTTACTAATAAAGTTCATATTTTCTTCATTTTGCAATATAAATTTATAAAATTAACTTGCTTTAGCTTGAGTTTTTAAATTCAAAAAAAATAAAAAAATAAAAAACTTGTTCTCAATTCTTCTTTCTATCCTTGCCTATTTTCCAAAAAAAAAAAAACACTTTAAAAACACTTCTTTGTACAGGGGAGAGTAATGGTGTAGCCGATCAAATACTTCATCTACATTCGTGACCTAAAGAATAAGATTTATTAACAAGTTTTATAAGTCAAACACTTAAACAAAATTTATTTATTTATGTAAATACGCTAAGAAAATAGCGTGTGCCACCACACCATGGATGTAAAAAGAAGAAAAGAATAACAATAATAATAATAAACACAATCTCAATTTACCCAAAAACACAAGATGAACAATTTTATTTCTCATGGGTCATTGTTCTAATCAGACCGGTGTATCTGAAAATTTATGAAAATTTGCATATGGAACTTGGATTATTGCACTTGAAAATGGGTGAAGAAAACTAAGCTAAACTTTAAAGGCGAAAATGGTTTAGAAAGGAATGTCCGAAATTCAAGATACAAAATTCTGAGGCACAATAGATATTATACATCACGGAGTTGAATATGAAGGAGCAGGAAGAAACGGGAATGGTGCAACAGAAGCAAATGCTACAGGTGGCCGTGCTTGTGGCCCACCAGTAGACTGCCTCCACACCTTACGATTGGCACCTTCACTCTCTTGTACAATATTTTCCGATGATGAAAGTTCATCAACCACTTTTGAACTGTCCGCAAGAAGTTGCTGGTTATCAGAGATTCTATGAAATAGAAGCCCAGACATAAATACAGGGAGATAAAGAAGGCTAGCATAAAACATTTTCCTGGCTTTTTGAGTGGTCCGGTCCCTGTAGAATGAAATTGCTGTGGCACTTATTGCAAGAGTAATGAATGTGGATTCAAGACAAAACCAACCAGATGCCAGGCCCCCTACAGAGAGAATTCATTAACTTAGATGATAAAAGGAGAGTGCAAATACGGAAAGAACTTATTCCAATAACTAAGACATCTTCAAACACAAACTATTAATAAACTGCTAACTGGGAGATATCTTTCAGCTAATCATATTCATGGTGTTAGCTTGTTCATTCAGAACAGGTTGATAATGCAAAACCAGTTAGGGGAAGCATATGTCCAGTATACGTCTTCAACTGTGTGAAATATCATTCTAAGATGCAGTGAACCAATCCAAGAAAATGCATTTGGGAGAAACCCAATCTGAAAATTTTCATTATTGGTATACTGTGATGATGTAACTCACAATCATAGGCTATGAACCCCAAAGGGACAAGATAGAGGCAGTTCCTTAGAGCCACTGCAGCTGTTCTCCGACCAGAAGCATCAGCTAGAGAGAACATTCTATACCTGAAAGAAGGCAACCAATCATGGAAAATAAATAGGATGAAATGTGAAATGCCATTGAAGTTTTGAACAGCACCACCATTAGGATATCTCCTTGCTTTAGCGTAAATTATTTAACAATTAGCCCATGCTTGCTAGCACATTTCAAGAAATTAGATCATGCAGACAAAAATTAGAAAAAGAGAATGCCCAACTTCCATGAAGGGAAAAACACCCTAAATTATTATTAAAAAAAAATTATTGATATCTTTATGAAAGCAAAGCCTCAGGAACCTTCAAAAATTTTTATTTCAGGTCAGAGCATGTATACATACCCTCCAGCAACATAATCATCACGGCACAAGTATGCTAGGGCCATAAAATGGGGAATCTGCCAAAAGTAAAGAGCTGCTGGAAGAATCATTCCATTAAGGGAAACCTGGCCTGAAGCCGCAGCCCACCTGAAAATAAAGAACAGAAAAGAATAAGCCCATGTGAATGATAGTAGATTTGAATTATCAATTTGACGCAAAACAAGAGCAAAACCAAGCTAAAAATATAAATGCATTGTAAATCAATGAAAGTACCATTTACCAGGAGCTAGATGAAGGGTATAATCAGTATTCTATCATAGTTTTTTCCATATATATCTGAGGAAAACTCATCACTTAGTGGTACAGTTTATCAAGATCTTTTAAGATTGCAACAAAACATAGTGTCATTCCCATTACAAGATACAGTTTGACTTTGACCAAACAGCTTGTTAAAACATACTTTCAACACTACACTTAATTATCAAGTCTTTTAGTCCCCAAATTATCAAAGAATCATTAGTGTTTAGGCTGGTAATGACAGTTATTACCTAGAAGTATTTGTAAGAATGACAAGAAAATTCAATTGTATATTATCAAATTCATAATAAATTAAAACCTGATGCATTCCATTAGGCATTAAGCAGAAAAGCCTTGTTAAGTTAAAGACAAAATACCCAAGGAGAGGTGGAATAGCACCAACAACAGCCCCCACCCATGTGTTGATGGGGTGAATCTGCTTCAATGGAGTATAGGCAAATGCATAGAGAACAAGATTAGAAGCTGCTAGTCCAGCCGCCAACATATTAGCCTGGAATAACCTTGCCGTGAAAGTTGCAAATCAGTACCTCAGCTCACAACATATGAAAAATTGGATGAAAGTAAAAAAAAGGCTGCATTCACACAGTTAAATAACACAATATACGCAGGTAAGTAAATTTATATGGCCACCTTGCATATCAATAGAGCAGTGCCAGCTAAACCAACAGAAGATGCCCAGGTGATTGCATGTGCTGCAGTGATACGCCCAGAAGGGAGTGGTCTTTGTCTTGTTCTCTTCATTTTGGCATCATTACTGATCTCAAACACCTAATGACAAAGTACAATTCACCAGTGAGTTGTTTTTGGGACGAGAATAATTCAAAAAATAAATTGTATCATTTCTTCTCTTCCTGTTTCTTCTCATCCATTCTATATGCAATGTAAAATTAGTATGCTATTACAAAATCTATTCTGCAAAAAGCAGAGAGATACATATGAATATGAAACATCAGGCTAGCTGCTTGGACATATCAAACAAGATTTCATGTGGAATTCATGAAAATGAAAAATGATGCAAAAACAATCATATAATCATGAAAATTTCGTTGCAAAAAACAAGATAGTAAAGAGTAAAAGACCGTACCTGATTCAAGGAGTTAGCTGAAGCAGCAACCATCATGGTTCCAGCACAAGTCCAACAAAGTCCCGCAAAATCAATGGCATTTCCACTTCCCAGCACATATCCAGTCCCTGAAGTAGCCACTACGAGCATACTGCGCAGACAAAATCAATCAAATCAAAGTGAATCCCAAAATCAGAGAAATCACAAAACAAAAAAAACACAAAGAAATTCTAAAATTGACCTGAGACGAGCCTTCGAGAGCTCCCAATAGCAGCGACCATAGTGGCGAGCGATATGGACGGCATCTCTAGCCTTAGACGCCAAAGGCTGAATCGCATCGGTTCCACTGTTGAGAAACCCTAACTTAGTTAATGAGGAAGGAGATTGTGCTGCAGATGACGTGGATGACCGTTGACACTGATATTGAGAAGGAGAGAGTACCGATCGGACGCCGTCAACGGTGAAAATGGATGAAGACGATGCGTAATGATAATTAGGATTGGAGGCGTAAAGAAGCTTCGAAGAGAAACTCGAAATCGCAGAGTTCCTCCACATGGTTTCGAATTTCCGGCGGAGTTGCAGATTCTGAAATCTGAATTTAGGATTCCATTGTTTTGGTCTCCGGCACGATAGCCTCCGATGATAAATGGGAACACTGATGAAGGCCACTAATCAAATTAAGAAAAAAAAAAAAAATCATCATAGAGGGGCCGTAACTCTAAGCCCAAATGTCTACAGTCTAGAGTACAACTTTCACCTCCGCTAAAAAGCCCAAACCAATTCTCTCGACTAAACAGTGCCTAAACTAATTAAAAACTTAAAACCTCTAAAATTTTAAGATTAAACAATAAAATAGATGAAGAGAGATTGAAAAGTTATTTAATATAGTTAATAATTATTATAAATAATTTAAATATTTTTATTTATTTAATTACGAATTTTTTAATTATTAATTTCAAATCACTGTATCAAATATGAGAGGGAACCGACGTCTATCATTGTTGCATAAGCCTAGAGGACAACATCCTCCACGGAGATTACTGGGCTATACCAAGAACTGACATCATGTCCCACATCCCCTAATCAAACTTGGCCCCTTTATTCTCGGACTCATTCAAATGCTAGGCCCAACTTTCCAAAAATGAATAGGCAAAACTCTATATTAAGCCCTCAAAGTTATCCTAGATTTTCAATTAAGCCTTTAAACTTTTATTGAAGCAAATAAACCATTGAATTTAGTATTCTAAGCAATTTAACCATTTTTTTTTTATAACGAACTTGATGTTTATTTATGTCTTACTTATGTGAATAAGGTCAATACTAGTCATATAAGCAATGATATATCAATAAGACACAAATGGACATTAACTTTAAATCCATTAGAAAAAAAAATGTTAAATTACTCAAATTATTAAATTTAAGACTTATTTATTTTAATAATAATTTAAAATTTTAATCAATAATTTAAAATAAATCCAGAGACTTAATATAAGGCTTTTCCAAATAAAAACATATGAGATTGTTAAAGTCAGACTTATTATTGGATTTATTACCCTTATAATAAGTGTATTAGAAAACATTTGATATGAACATTTAATTTAAGAACGATCAGTCATAAATGAAGTAGCTCATATCAAGTTTAAGTTACATATTATTTATTTATTTTTTGGTTCAAAGCTTTTATACTTAACACATTGAAAATTTGAAATGAAACATCCCATAGGAGAGAAACGACGGCCATACTCTTGAGCTAAATAAGATTTCAAAAGTTTTAAGATGGCATTTCTTATTGGGATTTGAAATAACCACGTGCCCATTTTATATTTTATTAAAATTCGTGATAAATTTTTTAAAGAATTTTTATTGATAACATAATTTATCAATAATTTTATTTATATTTTTACATGATAATACATGCGAAACTTTGAAGTTTAAACAAGTATTTATCTGTAACAATCATCAAAATATAGGGATATATTGTTAGATTGGATGATACCAACTGCATTGATTTATATCTTTGAATGACAAAGAGAGTCTTAATATAGAGTTATCTCTTCGTTTAGGGATTTCAATTTGCAATTCAGATTGTATATCAACATACATTTTCAATCACTGAATCATGCACTCATGAAAAACAATCAAAAAACAATACACAGAAAAGCTGCTAGGATAAAAAAAGGGCGAAAAAAGCCTCCCCTGCAACTGCAAATGGCAGCTCCTTTTATGGGAAAGCAGCATTTACACAGGAAAAAGCTTCTTCCTTTCCTTTCTTCTTCCGCTTTTCCGCCATTATTATGACCTTACCAATGCTTCAAATACCCAAAAACAGTATACCATTGGTAGTTCAAACCAACAATGGATTCTCTCTCTTCACGTGATGATCCTCAGCATGTCATGTGACCCCTCTCTCCTCCCACTTCCCCCAGTGCCAGTAGCCTTCATTTTTCCCCCCAAGTTAAAAAGGTCTAGTCTTTGACAGTCTTCTTCGTGATGCGTCCACTTACCCTTTCTCTGAGGAACGAAGAATAAGACGACCGGAACCTTCATTAAACTTCCCTGTGCTACAAAAGTTCAGTTCTTTTTGTTCCCATTTTGTTTGGTCGCCCTGCTGCATCTATTTGGGTATATGTGGAAGTAGACTGTGATGGGCTGCTTTCAGTCCAAAACCACCCATCTTCCTTCTTCTGATCAGGACCCTCCGCCACCTGAAACCAACCCAGATCTAGGTTTTTGTCCTCTGCTTTCCTTTTTTGAGTAATTTTTGTTGGTGGGTAGAATTTTTTTTTTTTTTTTTAAATTGATGATAAATGTTAATGGGTTGGCGGTTTTACCGTTAGATGGGAACGAGGAGCTTTCCGTACCGGCGTTCAAGGAGTTCGAGTTGGCCGAGCTGAGAGCGGCCACCAACGGGTTTAGCAGCGACCTCATTGTGTCGGAGAGTGGAGAGAAGGCTCCCAATGTGGTGTACAGAGGCAAGCTGAAGAACAACCGTCTCGTCGCCATCAAGCGCTTCTCCAGGCAGTCCTGGCCCGATCCCAACCAGTTTCTGACGGAGGCTGCCGGAGTTGGGAAAGTCCGGCACAAGAGATTGGTCAATTTAATCGGTTGTTGCGCCGAGGGAGAAGAGCGATTGTTGGTCGCTGAGTATATGCCTAATGATACCCTCGCCAAGCATCTCTTTCACTGTACGGTTTTATTGTCTTTATTCCTTTTCCTTCGGATACTGCCACTGACATATGTCAATTCGTAAAAGATGCCTCCTTTCTTTCCCTTACATTATTGTCTGTCCCAGGGGAAAAACAACCATTGCCATGGGAAATGCGCGTCAGAGTGGCATGCCATGTTGCACAAGCACTTGATCACTGCAATGCAGAGAACCGGAAAATATATCACGATTTAAATGCATACAGAATCCTTTTTGACGAGGTATGCCATTGCCTAATACGTTGGATGGTAGTAAGCTCGATGCATCAGGAGGTCTTTTGCCTGTGTGCTGGTGAACATTGGTTCCTGTTTTATTTTTGGTTTCTATGGTGGCGGTACTTGCTGCCATTGGATTAATTTGTTGGGTTGAATTTCATTTTTGCTGAGAGGAGTTGGATTTTTGAAGTGTCGCTTGTTCTGTTGGGATAATGCTTGTGATGCAATGCAGACTGTGAAAAAAAATGGTTGATAATTTTTTAACGGTCTCCTTGGTTTGATGTTTCCATCTTTGGTTGATTGTTCTATTTGGATAGCTTTAAGCGAAAAAGTTGGCTGCAAAAATGATGGTTCTCTTTATCCTTGTGGACTCTTTTTCTAATTCCGCTCTCTTAGTTATGCATCATTATTAATATCTAATGAATATGCCCATGGGTGACATTCTATTGGTCTAGAGAATTATGCTTCCTGAAGTGTGATTTTGGAATGAACAAATTGAAGGATTCACATTACCTATGAGCGGAGGAAGGTTTGAATTTATTTGTCATTTTAGGAATCAATTTGCTTTGGGTTTTCGTGGAAGAAACCCTACACATTTACCATGTTCAGCATATTTTGATTTTCCATTCTTAACTCTTTACTTTTATGGCTTATGAGCGTTTGGTTTTATCTTTATGCCAGGACGGTGACCCTCGATTATCTAGTTTTGGGCTAATGAAGAATAGCAGAGATGGAAAGAGCTATAGTACTAATTTGGCTTATACTCCACCAGAGTTTTTGCGCACAGGTATGATCTACCTTTTTGGAAGATTGAAGTCTAAAGATGGGATGTTGGAAGATTAGTAGTATTCGTTGAAAGAATCACTAACTTTTATCTAAAGCGGTTTTAGTTCCATTCAATCATGTAAAGGTTAAGCCTTTCAGAATTAAGAGTATTTTATTTTATTTATTTATATATTGTTATTATTATTATTATTATTATTATTTTCTGAATGGATATGCTTTCCTTCTTATAGTTTGGATGATTGAGAGTTTTGCAGGTAGGGTTATACCAGAGAGTGTAATTTACAGTTATGGAACTGTTCTTCTGGACCTTCTGAGTGGAAAGCATATACCTCCCAGCCATGTAAGATGATTGCTATTTCCTATCTTAATTCTTCTCCATTATCTTGGGTTCATAGCATGCATGTACATCTTCTATTTGTTTTTTTGTTCTTTATATATCTCTTTTAAATTACCCTCAAAACTCTTGATTAGTGATGTAATTGCTTTCTTGTAGCATAGATGCTACAACATGATACAATTATATTATGAGGTGATGTTGCTTATATTGTTTTTTTTTTTTTTTTTTTTTGAGATTACAACATGTTTCTTAATTCTCTAGGCACTGGATTTGATAAGGGGAAAGAATTTATTGTTGCTGATG